ATCTTCACTGTAATAAACAAAATTATTTTTCTTCTTCAGAAAAATTTAAAGAAAAGAGATTAGGTTCTCTACTACCTAACAAATTCAATCACTTTGTAATACATGGGGAAATGAAAACAAGTGTAAAGCATAAATAAATGTGGAAAAATTCTATGTTTTCCTGCAATAGATAGATATATCCAGCGATTAAAAATAAACAAAATTAATTTGTATCTTAATATTTTAGCATTTAACATTTTTCATATTCTGAATTAGTGATTAAATTTTGGTATAGATTTCTGTCATTCATAAAGTGAATGAGTTTTAACAAGGAATCAAAAACAGCCTTTCATGTAGAATGCTTTTAAGCTTCACTCCCTGTTGAATTCAGTGAGGACTTACACTTCAAAAGCAACAACAAATACAGTGCCTTAGTGCTTTCATATCAGTAAGCACTACTGAAAGGGATGTTAGAAATGGCATTTGTGAAATATGGAGGCAATGTCCATTTGTCCAGTACAGGTATATATTGCAAAATATTTATCAGCTGTTATTTTTAGTCTTTCTTGTTTCACCCTCGGAAGTGCTTGTTTGCATCTTTCAATCCTATAAAATTCAGCACTGTTTCAGGTGTGAGTAAAGGCTACTCCTTTGAGTAGGACTTGCTGGATTGAGACCACAGGCTGTCATTGTGTGAAGCATCTTTGTATCCTCAGCATACTGTACAGCAAAGTGCCTTCACCTGTGGCAAAGCAGCATTTACTTTCATGCTGCTCGCCTGCTTGTCCAAGGAAGTGAAGCTTTGAGAGAAATGTGTTTGTTTGTTTGTTTGTTTTTAAGCCAGAATAATTTATCCTAAATGGAGAGCGCTGTGATGAGATTCGTAGTATGTCCAGTTTGAGGTTGAACTGGAAGGAAGAAAACTCCTAGCAGCTCTTTGGCATTATTTGAAATATTTTTCTGAAGGAATCCATAACTATTGCAAGGCAGATGGGTGATGAGGTGAATGAACTTGGATAGGTCATTGGAAAAGTATTCTCACTATTTATAAGGTAGGGGAGTTTAGGAAAGGAGAAATGCAAAATAGAGCTGTAGGTCCCCACTTAGTACAGGCGGGAGCCTGGTCCCCTGAGACAGCACAAAACTAACCATTTGTTTCATTGAGAGCAGAGCTGAGCACTGAATATCCAAGAAATAGCTATACTGCTGTATTTCTCATGTACTTTTTCACAAATTATATTTTAAATGCAAACTACTGTCTCTTTGAGTTTGAGAACAAGTACACTAGCCTGCTTTTTAATTTGAAATGCTGTACAGGACCACATAAATACGTCCTGGCAGTGAGGTTGCTTTGGAAAGCTTGTGTTATACATACTAACTTTGACACATGGAGATCTTGAGACTGTCTTCCAACGCATAAAATAAGTGGTTACTATACAGTGTCTGAAACAATTAGCTTTCTGGTATTTGATCAGCTCATTCTAGATCAGAGGACAGCCATATTTGAATGGCTATATTCTCTGAACCCATCACTAATTACTGAAACCTTTCATGTGAGGTCTGTTTAGAGAAAGTTCTCCTTAAACAAAAGAATACCGATATATAGATAAAAGCTGGATGGGGAGCTACAGTTAGCAGCTTCTTTAAGGATCAATCCTCCTTTGCAATCACTTAATAGCAATATTGGAAAGTAGTAGCTGTAATAACAATCATAATCATAATCATGGCAACAACACACAACTGCCAATGTTTAGAAATAAGCACTGGAAAATGTTCCTGGTGAAAGCCTCTGGAGAAACGACATCTCTCTGTGCATGGTTGATACTACTAACCAGGACACTTCATAGATTCTGAGCAAGGACCAGAGAATCTGTCTCCCTGACTTTTAAAATGCAAATCTGTAATGTAAATAAGGATTTGTTTGAGTTGTCTTAGTTCAGAAAGACTCTGGAGAGAGGCAAGTGCGTTGGGTGTTGGATGCTTTGCTGCTCTGTACTCTGCATGCTTTCACTTTGTGAGAGCTGGAGCACACACCAAAAATGTGGTTTGGAAACCTGCTTTTTCACTTAATTCACTTTGGGAGGCTTTGGGATTTTCAACATATGCTTTAGGATACCTGCTGCCAGTATGCATGCTTTTTTCTGTGGTGAATCATGTTATCTTCTGTGATATTTTTGTAACACAAAGTGATGGTTGTTACAGAAGCATTTACCATTAGGATTAGTCTAGTATTGTCTAACAACAGCTATATATTATCGATCTTAACCCAAACAGTGTAACAGTTTCAGCACTTCATGCTGAAGTCTTAAATAATTCTTGACTGTTTTGAATTGCATTTTATTACCCCTCTCAAAAGAAAAATAAAAAAAGATGGGGAAAAAACAGTAGTATTTAAAGATGTGTTTATTTTAACTTGTAAATGCAGTTGAATTTTGAAATTAGAAAATTTTGCATTCAGCAAAATAATTTCTTAATATCAGCAATATCATTTCTTAATAGAAAATGCATGTCTGTTACTTAG